ACTACTATTTATTCTTCAATTATTGAATTCTGTTCTTAATTATAATCTTTTACGGTTCATTGCTACCGTATAGTATTAATAGAAACCCTGTTTTAATCTGCATACAAATTCTCAATGATACTGACATTTAGGTCATATTTATTTCCTGTACTAAAATTATAAGATAATAAATATTTTTTACCTATAAAGTGTCCTAAAGTTAAAAATAATAAATAATAATAGCACTGTTTTTCCTTCTGTAGGTTTGGTTTCAAAATCGTCGTGCAAAAGAGAAACGCCTAAAAAAAGATGCTGGTCGACGATGGGGAACTTACAGCTTTTTGAAGGCAATGGATAGCGATAGTGCATCACCGGAGGAAAGCCTCTGTCACAGTCCCATTTACACTCGTCAGCAGCCAAGTAAACCTATAATTCTTTTTCTTCTCCAGTTCCAAAATTCTGATATATTTTTAGCAATAGATCGTTGCCAAAAAATTTGCAAAAAATTTTTTGCGGTTAAATAGTGCCAATTTTTTGTTGAATCAATGTTCTATAGAAATTTTGCATTACAATAGTCAGCAAGTGAAGTATCAGTTTTTTAGGCTCAACAGGTTTTGTTGATACATGCGAAACGACGTCAAATCTTAACTACGGTAAGCAAAAATACAGTAATTTTTGGTGTTGCCAGCTGGAAAAAAGAATGCTATATGTTGACTGATCATAGTTTAATTTGAATTTTAAGAAAAAAATAGGGGGAAAAGGAAGAACCAAAAACCGCACTGAACATATCAGATTGATACTGTAAATCGGAACAAATTTTATTGCTATTTAGAGGCAAAACAATCAGTTAATCATTGCTATAAACTGAAATTTATGAGAGTAATTTTGCAGTACAAATGTTGTCGTAGTTATAGATGACAGATTGATAGTAAAAATAAAATTTGTTTTCTTTTTAGTACGATCACTTTATTATTAATTTTTGTTTTTTTGTAAAAGCGGATTAGTAAAAAGAAAAGAAAAGAAACAATTAGATGTACATATATCTGTTGTATTAGATTGATCGTAAAGAATACAAAATCAAAAAAAGACGATAAGACAAGAAGTTAAAGAAAAGAAATTTTTCTCTTTTTTTTTCTCGATTATTTTATTTTTGTTAAACCTATAGGTGGAAGCAGATGTTATTCGTATCCATTGGAACACAATGTTGCATCTGCAGCAACAGGTATTGTAGGATTGGATATCGCCGGAACTTGCGATGTATCTGGTCAACTGCCCGGTGAACATGGTAACAATCGATTACCCATCGACAACGGAACCAATATTATCCCACGATATCTGTCATGACATTCACAGCGTTAAAACTTGTCACTGCTAGAATAAAAATAAGTTGCCAAGTTTTATAGGAAGAAAAAAAAAGGTCAAACATCACAGAACTAGACAGAAGACTGTAGGCTGCTTGATAACATATCGTTTATTAAGTAACTGTTTGATAACTGTTTGTTGTTTTATTGTTTTCTTTTCTGATATTTATTAGTAGAGTACCTTTTTTTGGAACGGTAGAAGAGTTACACTTTACCCAGTGTCAGGTTTTAACGAAAATTTGTTCTTTCTTTTTTCTTTTGTTATCTTTTTGTTTGTTTGTTTGTTTGTTTTTTTTGTTGCAAATAAACCAAAAAAAAAACGGCAGAAATTTTCATTGCTTTTTCCTTTTTTCTTGACGCTTTGATACAGTTTTCTTTGTACTAAAAAAATCTTGCGAATTTGAGCAAAAGATGAAAAGCAGCAAAATTAGAAAGAAGATTAGTGAAAAAGCTTTTAAGAGCTTCTAATTACCTGCAAAATGATCATCGACCTCCTGTTTCAGTTGTTACTTTTCTTTTTTTTTACATTTTTTTCTGATAATTTATACTGGCTAAATATTTATGTTATCGATTCGGTTCTACTGTTTTCAGTTTGAAAATACTTTCTGGTCATTTTTAGGTTAGACTAGACTAGCCTGACAGATACTAGGGTCGGTTACAGTTAGTTTGTTTAATATACGTAAACACTGCTCCTGCTGAAATGATCTCGCTACTGCATAAATCGTTTTATGTTATATGTTTCCCTTGTTCTTCATTTTGACTCAAAAATTTTTGCTGTATGATTAAATGGTCTTAAAAAATAGCTTTTCTTGTATTTCTACTCTTAGTTCCTTTCTTCTGTTGTTTTTTTCTTTCTTTTATCTTTCTTTTTGTTTTTCCTGTTAGATCAGGAAGGAAAAAAAAATTTTTTTTTTTTT